GTGCCCATCCCCCCGGGGGGTGATTTCTCGCTTTCTGTCTCTCTGTCTCTGTCTGTCTGGCGAGCACATGCATCCTATAGTGAAAACAAAACAAAACAAAACAAAACAAAACACCTCTCCAAAAGAGACTGCCGGCCCCTGTGAGCTAGCTCATGTCGCCGCTGAGCAATGGCCCTCCTGAGAGCAGGTCAAGACATTCATCCAGTATCTGGATACGGGGACGGGGAGGCCGGCTCCAGGACCTGCTGCTGCCAACAGTGCTCCTGCGAGTGCTCACAGCGTGCATCCTTGGTGTGCCCGGGCAGGAATGACAACGCTGGCCACAGGGATCAAACTGCTCAGCCCTGTGACACACACAGTCGTTTCCCTGAGCCGCTGTACCGATTCACACTCCCACTGGCAAGAGAGAGCTGCTGACCTGCGACCTTAGCAGAAATATTACGGGGTTTCCTAAGTTTTGCCGGCCCACCTGGGTTCTAAGTGGTCAATCTTCTTGGTCTTGAGTTTACTGTCCCATATGGGTTGACCATGCTCAAAAACTCCAAAATCTTTTAAGAACTGACATGATATCCCAAGTGGAAAATTCCACACCTCACCTCATCTGAAGAGTCTCAGTCAAAATACTGCAATATATTTTTTTGGGGACCGGCAGGTGGCATGGTGACTAAAGGCGCTTGGACTCCCACATGGGCCGACCACAGTTTGAGTTCCAGACCCAAGGTTCCTTTCTCACTCACTCACTCACTCTCTTTCACTCTGTCCCTTTCTGGTCAAATTAAATAAAGAAAGGTAAAATAATTCTTCACAAAACCCCCAAAATACTGCAATATAAAAATATCACGGGGCCAGCGGTGGTTGAGGTGCTGGACTCCCACAGGGTCAACTGCAGTTCAAGTCCTGGACCTGGTGGCTTGAAAATCACACCAGGCTTGTGTGTGTATACGCAAAATCCCAGGAGGAAAAGAGACTGTGGCATGGCCATCCCCCTAGGGGGATTTCTCACTTTCCCTGTCTTTCTCAAACAAATACATGTACTCCACGGCATAACCTAAAGAGTATAAAACAGTAGTCTGGCTACGGGTGTAAGACGCCTATGAGACACAACTGCATGTCATGTTTAGGTCTGGGTCCACCCCAGGGTAGCTCACACATATTTGTAGATACTCCAAAGGTCCAAAGACATCCACAATCTCAACACCTGTGGCCCCAAGCACTTTAGATAAGGGGTGCTCTATCTGTAAACTGAAGCTACAGCTATTCCTATTTTTGGATTCATCTCTTCAGTGAAATGCCTGTTGCTATCATTCACCTGTTTCTCTATCAGGCTGCTTGCTCTGATTCACATGCCTTATCCTTGCAGCGAAGCGCTTTCTCTTGTAGTCAATGTGGGAACAACAGTGCATGATTACAGACGGTGGACGACAGCGTGAGCAGTCTCCAGGGTACAGGCCAATGGAGAGGACTCTGCCTTCAGGAGTATTCACACATAAGCTGACATGCACACGCACACACCCCCTCTGTAACTACAATGTAAAAAGTGTTCTGTGTTCCAGTTATTCCTTAACCGGGGGTCCCATCCTCTGGGCCATGGACTGGTGTCAGTCAGGAACCTGGCTGCACGGGTGAGTGGGAGGTGAGCAGGTGAGCAGGCTTCCTCTGTATTCACAGCCCCTTCCTCCTCTCCTCCCCACCACCCTGTAGCACGGCCCAGAGCTCCACCTCCTGCTGGATCAGCGGGGCATTAGCTTCTCATAAGAGCCCCAGGGTGGTGGCTGCCAGGGGTGGGCCCAGGGGCGCTCAGTCCCCCTCTCCAGGCCATCCCTGTCCTGGACGCAGAGCTGACTCTGCATTACGCACAGCGCGCTGTCTAGTCATCCATCGTATAATGCGTAACAGCACCACTAGTGAAGTTCACAACGTAACGCACTTGAGCTCATCCTGGAACTATCACCCCCACTCCCCAAGTCTGTCTTCCAGGAAACCAGTCCCTGGTGCCAAAAAAGTTGGGGACTGATGCCTTAATCCATTCCCAGGGTCAACCCCAAAATAAACACAAACACCATTTTTACTGAACTAAATCCTTTTAAACAGTAACTAGCCTCACCTGTAAAGATCTCAGTGCTAACGAGAGGAAGCAGGGATAGACTGCGTGCCCACGCGTGGGGAGAGAGCTGACACAGACCGAGTACCCGTGACAGGGAGGAAGACAGCACAGCCATCACACGTCCACAAACGATGCAATGGAAACAGGGTCAGGTGGCCGGAGGGTGTGTCTTACCTGAGTATCCAAAGGAAATACTGGAGATGGGGCTCAGGTAGATGCCTTTGCCATAGGCTGCTCCATGCAGCTTGCAGGGAAACAGCAGGGTGAGCGACGTGGCCTGGCTCGCCCGCGGCTATACGCCGGGCAGCCAGCAGGCGTAACCAGCCCTGCCCCTCCAGCTGGCTTCTCGCTCGGGAAGCAGCCCTAGCGCCTACTCCGGAGAGGCTGACTGGCTGCACTCCGATGCCTGTGACTGCATCCAGGACAGGGACGGCCTGGAGAGGGGGACTGAGCGCCCCTGGGCCCACCCCTGGCAGCCAGACTGCCCAGGCCTTGGTACACAGGCGGACTCCAAAAGAGGAAGCACAGAAGAGCGAGCCAGAAGGGTGGCCGAAGGCCAGTCTGAGTTTCTCAGGGCAAAGACAGTCTCCCCAATCAACTCTCAGAACGGCAGTCGCGTGACCTGAAAGCACTGTCTAGGAAGTTCGATCACCACCTAGCGGCTGTAGTCAGTGACGCCAGTATTTCTGCCTACAGTATGACCCCGTGGCCAACCAAAGCACCGGAAGTATCTGCGATCAAATACACAACAGCCACCCTCGTTCTGAGCGCACAGGTCAGCTCCTGCTCTGGGGAAGCCGGGACAGCGAGGCCGGAGGACAGGGCGGGCAGCAGGGGTGCGCAGCGGCGGGGCCCAGCCTCACCTGTAGTTTGGTGTAGGATGCGTTGACCAGCCCGTTGCGCAGGATCGAGTGCCAGTTCTCAATGTGGGACCCGCTGTAAGGCAGGGGGAGTGCGTGTCTCCTCAGAGCAGGAGAGCGGGAGGGCCCCAGGGCCATCCCACATGCCGTTCCCAACCCGCACACCCATGGGGAGGCGTTCGCCTAGCGGACACACGTGTGTCTGCCATCACGGCCACGCGAAGGGGGTGTAATCTGACTCTCCATGTCCAGTCCCATCTCCTCTTTAGAGCTTCAGCGAGGCCCTTCCTAAATCTTCAACTGCTGGTTTGGTGTTCGCCTGATCCCTGACATTCCCAAATCAGTAAATCCACCTCAAACTCAACAAACTGATGGCTAGCCCCAAATACGGCTTCCAGGCCCCACTTCACATCCTGTTTTAAGAAAAGGGTACTGCCATCCAGTCTAAGCTGTCTTGAATACGTCCTTCTTCCTCCCTCCCTCCCACGATTAGGCATAGATCACCGATTTTCTTTTACAGTGGCTTTCAGATCTATCCCCTCCAACCTGTTCCCTCAAGCACATCTCTCCGCAGGTCAACGCCGTCTCTTCCACTACGCGCTGACGGGTGAGAATACAGGCAGGTCGTGCGTGCCTCTACCCCTTGGCACCCCGCACCCCGCACTTCCGGGGTGCTCGCGGCAGGCTGACAGACTCGGGAGCACAGCTCAACACCCAGGCACCCTGCCCCACGCTCCTCACTGGAAGGCGAAGGTGCTAGAGCTTCTTGGCGGTCCGGAACCGAGCCTCCTTGGCTGGAGGGCTGCTCAGCAGGAGGAACTGGTGTGAGGTGTGCATGAACTTCAGCTGCTGCCCGGGGTGGGGTGGGGCCAGGATGTGAGAAAGGAAACGGAGATCAGGGAAGGAAAGGCTCACGGGGACCCGGACATGGGGAGCACACTAGGCGGGATGACGCCGCCAGCCAACACCAGCCAGGCCAAGCGGGCAGACCCGAGGAGGTGGCTTAGAGCCCCACCCGGACCCTCGCCAGGTGTCAGAGAACGGTCACTTACCCTGCTGAGAGGTAGTTTGACAATGTGGGACCTGTTGCTAGAGATGATCCTGGGAAGAGAGAGGACAAGGACAGAACGCGTGTGGGTGGGCAGCAGAGCAGGCCGCCGCCGTCGGCCCCGGGAGGTCTGACACTTATGTTTAAAAATGTAAAGGGGGCCGCCAGGTGAGGTGGGTTGAAGCCGCTGGATTCCTACACGGCCGACTGTGGATTGTCCTGGACCTGGCAGTTTGCTTTATCGCTTTCCCTTTCTCTATCTCTGAGTGGTCAAATTAAAAAAATAATAATAATAATAATAGGGAACTAGTAGGTGGCATGGTGGTTAAGGCGCTGGACACTCCGACATGGCTAATCATGGTTCAAGTCTTGGATCTGGTGGCTTGCTTTCTCACTTTCTCTGTCTCTAGTCAAATTTAAATTAAAAAAAAATGAATAAATGAAATTAAATAACTATTTTTTAAAATAATAATGATAAATGGCATTAAATTAATAAATCAATCTAAAAAGAAAAAAGTTGGGACCAGCAGGTGGCATGGTGGTTAAGGCACTGGATGCTCCCACATGGCTGACCACGGTTCAAATTCTGGACCTGGTGGCTTGCTTTCTCACCTTCTCTCTCTGTCTGTGTGTGTCTCCAATCAAATTAAAAATGGATGAATAAAAAAAAGAATAAAAGAAAAAAAATGGATGAATGAGGGGCCGGCAGGTGGCACGGTGGTTGGGCGCACAGGATTCCTACATGGCTGACCACGGTTCGAGTCTCGGACCTGGTGGCTAGCTTTCTCACTTTCCTTGTCTCTTTCACTCTATCCCTCTGGTCAAATAAAAATAAATTTTTTTTTTAAGAAAAAGATGGAATAATAAAGG